CTGAACGTTGGTGACGGAGCAACAACAAATTACATTTACACAGCGCCTTTCACATCAGGATGTCCCAAGGCTCTGGACAGTCGGGGATCTGCACCAGAGTGCACAGGAGAAACAACTGTCACATCTGGGAACCACTGCCATCAGGTTTAACAACTCACACTGCCTGGTGTGCTGGTTCAAAGTGAGCTGGAAATCAGTCGTCACTGTTTGTCTCTACAAAACAGGTCCTGTTTGCAGGTCTGCCCACCCACCCTGGTCCGGAACATTACTGTACTATACAGCATCGTGCCTGCCTGTCAGGCCCTGCAACATGCAGTAAGATTGTTTTCTCATCCCTATGGCAATGAAACATTATGGAGGTGTTCACGTTGCCCACACTCTGTAGAGAAATCAATCAAGTTCATTTTGTTCACTTAAACAGCAGATCCCAGGCTCCCTTGTTTAGTGCTGTTGGCACCATGCCTTACTGACACCACAGAAACCTGCCCGGCTCAATGCTTATGCTGCACACACTCATTCAGTGTGACAAATAAAACATCTTTTAATATAAGCGATGCTTATAAAATATCACTTGATATTCAACGGAGTGTGAAAGCTGGAGAGAAGGAAACACACTGCCCGGCTTCTTTGTTGAAGCATTTGGCATTTCTTTGTAGTGAGAAATATTTTTCCAAAGAGCCTTGAAGCCTCCTTCCTCACTGCCTGTGCCAGCACATCACAGCAACTCAGCCTTGGCTCAACTCCAACAACCAATATCCCCATCCAACACAAACCAGCAAACTGCCTGCTAACAGAGGGAAGGCTCTGACACTGACTCACAGTCCTCAGAGACTCACTTTCCAAGTTATATACAATTTATTTAAATAGTTAAATCTTATCACTGCCCCACAGTTTCCAAAAGCACAGCAACACAGCAGTGTTACCTCCACATTGGGAAGAGTTTGACTTGACGCAGATGGTTCCTGACATAGATTCCAAGCATCTGTCACAATTTTATAATATAAAGATAGACATTGCATTTGATGTTGCACCTTTTGCATCATGACATCTCAAAGCTACACCTTACAACAACAACTTGCATTTATATAGCGCCATACAAATAGGGTAGAGTCTCAGAGAGCCTACAGGATTTTACTGTAAAGTGTAATGACTGCCCTTTGTAGGTGAATGTGGAAGCCAATTTGTCGACAGCAACATCCCACAAAGTGAAAGACCAATTTTATCTGGAAGATTGTTAGCCAGGACAGAGGAAGAAACTTCCTTCTCTGTTTGAATAGTGCCACAGGATCTTGAACAGGCTCAGACGGGACCACACACAACACACAGGAGCCAGGCAGGTCACCACGTGAGTTGGATACACTTCTAACCTCCATTAGCCCTGTAAAGCCGCTCCAATCCCAGACACACGTTATTCTCCGCAGCTTTCAGGGATCATCCTATTTACAGCATCGGATTCTATGGCTGAAAACTAGAGCCACTTAAAAGAGCACGTGTTATAACTGTAAATATCCAGTGTCTGGCCCTAGATGTGTTTTATCTGTATACATCCTGTCTCTCTCTCTCCACGTGTGTGTTACAACTATAAATAGCCTGTGTCTCTCTCTCCTCAAATGCATGGAACAGATTCCCAGCAAAAGCAGCAGTGTTATAGTGATGGATGTACCTGAGACTATAGGTATAGGGAGAGAATAGGGAGAGGTATATCGAGGTACAGAGACAGGTATAGGGAGACCATATAGAGAGGTACATATACAGATACAGGTTCAGGTAAAGGCACAGCACATAATAAAATAATGAATGAGTGGGTGAGGATGACAGCTGTGGAGGACAGATAGCATGGCAGAGAATGGACATGTGGAGGGCATCAGGTATCCTTCCATTTCTACAGAATTTCTTTTTAGTGCAATAACTTGTGTCTATTGATATACAAGCTGAAGAATTGAATTGTGGTCCCACATCTGGGCAACTCTTCAGCAGATGTGGCTCACTCACCATCTCTCACCTGTGTTTGTCTCACTGTACTCCTGCGCTCTATTATACTGATTACTATAATCATTGCTGTTCTGATTACCCTTACTGGATCTTGACTATTTAAATATGAAGACTTGTTCTTAACTCAACAAAACCTTTCAACTTTTTGATATGTCCTCCCGATAAGAACAGCGCTACATACAGGGTGGCCAAAAAGTTGTGATACCATTACAATGTCTAATATTATCATCATTATTATAATAATAAGTCTTAATTAGATGATGAGATTTTTGTTTTTTAGATATAGGGTAGTTATCACGACTTGGTCACCCTGAATATGTAAATTGTATTGTACAGGTATATACAGGTACAACAATTCACATTTCTACTGTACCTTTCCCATCTCAAAGCTATTCACACAACTGACTGGTGGCGCAGGGAGAAGGCTGAGGAGGGAAAGGTGACTGAAAGCACAGTTGGAGACGGGTCTTAAGACATGTTTTCAAGGCAGGAGGAGTGGGGCAGGTGGAGGGATACAGGAGAGCAGGGCCACAGTGGCTGATGGTGGGACAGAGCAAGTGAGGACATGAATGGTGTTTCTAGCATGTTATTACCGTAAATATTCATCTGAACCAGGGGTCACAGAGGGAGGTTGAGGGATGAGGCCATGGAGGCTTTTACTTCTCAGGTGTGGTGTCACCTGATCGCTAGACAAGCTCTTGGACCCTCCCCAACCCCTCACAAGCAGGAGACTAAGGATTATCCAGGATCTTGATACCAATGAAGGCTGTACTGTACTCTGCCAGGAAGAGATCAAACCGGCCAAAGACCTTTTTCATCCGAAACCTTCATGAATGATTTAGAAGATGACAAAAGAGGTAGGAGTTGGAAGCATTTCATATTGACCCCAGGTCAAGATGGGAAAACATCACAGTGTTTTACTCCTCACTGCAATCTGCTGACCCTGCTCAAAAACAAGAGCACACTCAGCTGTGGGGGTCACCACTGGTCAAATATCCCACTATCACCTCATCACAATAATAATAATAATCTTCACATTTGATATAGCATCTTATTAAATGTTAAGACTTCTCAAAGGAATACAAAGCATATACTGTAAAGTGTAGTGACTGGTGCATTTTGTTGGTGAATGCAGCAGACAATTTGCTCACAGCAACATCCCACAAACAGCCACGGAGAATAGTGACATGAAGGATAATCACATAATTGAGGAACTGGAGTCCACCAGGACCTGTGGAACCCAGAGGGCAAAGATAACATAGAGACACGAAGGCAAACTGCAGCCCCTCCTGTCAGGCTTTTTGGTGCAACAACTTGCATTTATACCTCACCCTTCACGCAGAGTAACATTTTGAAGTACTTTACAAGGTCACTGTTGGAATTAAATTTAGTTGCTTATAATCAATTTTACAAAATATAGTTGCTTCAATCTAATTCCTCCCATTCAGCTCCTGGTAACCCCGCAGCCAAAGCCCTAATGGGGAGGGGGGTCCTCGCTGGACAAGCAGCGGGAAAGCTGCCAGACAGTGATAGCAATGGCCGAGCTGTGTGGGTTTAGTTGGTTACACTCCAGCAGTTACCCCAACACACATTCTGGGCCCTCCCCCCCCCAAACCCAGGCCTTGGCTCTCGCCAACCTGTGCCTAATACTCTCCGGAATTAGGTACGCAGGGGCCGTCCCTCCAGGGAGAGAGCGAGAGAGCACATTCCATCCCGACAATCTCTCTGGGATTGCCATGTGTAGGTGGGGATGTGGGGAATTCTCAGTCTGGTCTGGAGACCACTGGTTTCCGCGAGTGTCAAGACTCCCGGGTGGCAAAATAACCCTTACACCGGCTGCCGTCAGCGGGCAGCGCGGGCCGACCCCTGACCTTTGCCCTCTGCCTGAGCCGGGCTGACCTTTGGCTTGGAATCAAAGGTTACGTTTTGTCCACAATATACCGTCACTGCACCTCACGGTATATCCTGTGAAGCGCTTTGAGCCGTGTCCAGCGCCGCGTGTTGGTGCCGTGTTACCTTATAGACTTTGCCGAAGGCGCCATCGCCCAACTCCCCGATGATGTCCCAGGTCTCCTCCGGGTTCTGCTCCCTCCGCACGTGATCAAACTGCCGGCGCCGCTTCTCACCGCCGCCACCGATCTTAAAGATCTTCCGAAAGTTGAAGAAAGACATTTCCCCCCGAGCGGCCTGACCCGACCCCGGCCTGACCCGACCCTGACCCCGGCCTGACCCTGACCCCCCGAGCGGCCTGACCCGACCCTGACCCCGGCCTGACCCTGACCCCCCGAGCGGCCTGACCCTGACCCTGACCCCGGGAGCGGCCTGACCCTGACACTGACCCCCCGAGCGGCCTGACCCTGACCCCGGCCCCGGCCCCGGGAGCGGCCTCACTGACTCTGCTCACGATCCCGCTCTGCCCTCACTGCCCGGGAGTGAGTGAGGCCCGACCCCGCCCGTTTCCCAGCCCAGTCCCCTGCTCTCCCCCCCCCGGGCCCCGCTGTGAGGCTGCGGTGCCGCTGTGAGGTTGCTGTGCCGGTGCTCTCCCCCCGGGCCCCGCTGTGAGGCTGCGGTGCCGCTGCTCTCCCCTCCCCCCCGGGCCCCGCTGTGAGGCTGCGGTGCCGCTGTGAGGTTGCGGTGCCGGTACCGGTGCCGCTGCTCTCCCCCTCCCCCCCCCCGGGCCCCGCTGTGAGGCTCCGGTGCCGGTGCCGCTGCTCTCCCCTCCCCCCCCCGGGCCCCGCTGTGAGGCTGCGGTGCCGCCGCCGCCGTTCTCTCTGTGTCTGACAGGCGGCGCTGAGTGACGGCCGCTGAGGGACCAATCAGAGCGCGGAGTCGCCCTGGGGGCGGGGTTGGAGGACCGAGGAATCCTCCAGTAGCGTCTAATCGAGCGACGAGAATTCAACCAGAGATCAGCGATCGCTGACCGGCGGGAATATTCCTTACCTTTGACACCGCGCCTCATCCTCGCGGCGGCGCTGCTGCAGTGTGAGCCGCAGTGACAGGGCCGCGGCTCTCGGGGACACTGAGCTCCGGGTCCAGGCTGTGCCCTGTGCATGTGGCTACTGCCCAAGAGAAGGTAGTCCCCCCCGTGTCACCCCCCCCGTGTGTGTCCCCCCCCGTGTCCGGGCTGTCCCCCCCCCCGTGTCCCCCCCCCCCCGTGTCCCCCCCCCCGTGTCCCCCCCCGTGTCCCCCCCCCGTGTCGTCCCCCCGTGTCCCCCCCCCCCCCCCCCGTGTCCCCCCGTGTCCGGGGTCCCCCCCCCCGTGTCCCCCCCCCCGTGTCCCCCCCCCCGTGTCCCCCCCCACACACAGTCCTCACTCACGTTATGGCTGTTTGTGTAACTTGCTGCTGCGTTCCTTACGAAACACAGTCACTTCACTTTGCGGAATAACCTGTGTTGTTGTTGTTGTTGTTGTTGTTGAGGTGCGGGAGAGATGCGGTCCTGAGGTGATGAGCTGCCGTCAGTGGTCAGAGTCCTTGTATTGAATATAGAGCCTTTCACGTCCGGAGCCCCGGAGACCGCGCGGCGCTGACTCCGCTCTTCATATTCCATTGGCAAACATGTCGCCGTGGAGCCAGTGAGGCCCTGTTTACCCGCCCCCCACCCCATCTGTCCTGATCATACAAACATCATCCCCACTGTCCACCTGCAACACACTATAGTTTAATAGAAACATAGGAACAGGAGGAGGTCATTCAGCCCCTTGGACCTGTTCCCCCATTCTGTAAGATCATGACTGATCTGTTCCTCAACTGCAATTACCTGCCCCTGACCCCTCCATACACTGACCTCACAAACATCTATCCACATCTGCTTCCTCATCTGTAGCAACGACCATTCTGGGGGGGGCTCAGGGTTTGGGAGACTATGGTCGGGCCACAGAAATCTACAACAGAGCAAGAGGCCATTTGATCATTTTTATTGTTTCAACAACAATAAAATTACAGACGTCCCAAGGCGCTGGTCCTACTGTCTGCTGCAGACCAACAATGAACCCATCCTCATCCTATTCAATATTATTCTTATTAATCATTATCATTATAATGCCTATTCCCTGGTCTCTCGCCCTCCCCCCCCCCCCCACGCCACCACCACTAATATCCTCTGTGTATATTTATCGAATTCCCTTTTAAATCTTCAATTGACTCTGATAGTCAAATCATTCTGAATGGTCCAGTAGATGCATTTGGTTCATTCACTTGAACTGGGTAAATACAATACAGATACACATTATATAGCACGTTATTCATCAGGAGTTAGGTCAGGAGCTATGAGCTTCACAGCTGAATTCATGCTCTATTTGGAATAATAATAATAATCCTTGCATTTGATATTATTATTGATATAGCGCCTTATCATGTCTTCGAGACGTCTCAAAGTGCTTCACAGAATAAACTGTAAAGTGAATTGACTGTATATTTTGTGGTCAAAAACGCAGCAGCCAATTTCGCACATCAGCGAATCACAAGCAGTCGTGGATTGTGTGACTAAATTATCAAAAAAAAGCTTTTTTTTTTGAAGAGATTATTGGTGACGTGAAGAGGAACGTCTGTACCGCGTGACAAGCAGACAGCGATGTGGACTGATTGCTGGGACACTCGGCAATTTTGATGATGGAAACAGCCTGTGAGGGTGGAGCAGACACACTGCCCCCTGAGCTCTGGGGCCTGGACCCCGTGTTCGCAGCCTTCGCCAAATTGTACATCAGGGATATTCTAGCGCTCAGAGAGGCTCCAGAAATTCCAGGTAAATCCTCAGATTGTTTTTGTCTCGTCTCCGTCTCAGTGAGTCATGAGTTCAGTGTAAGGTAACTCTTCAGCCAACAATGGGGAGCACTGCTTTGGTGGAAGTTCCTTCAAATGAGACTTTAAACCGGGGCCCTGTCTGCCTACTCAATGGACATTAAACATAACAACAATTTGCATTATTACAGCACCCTTCACGTGGAGTAACATCTCAAAGCTCTGTAATAATTCTCGCATTTTATATAGCCCCATCTTTGTATTTTAGGTGAACACAATATTAGAGATCCCGTAGTGCTATTGGAAAAGAGAAGGGAGTTTCTCTCTCTCTCCCGACGTCCTGGCCAACAATCCTCCAGATACAATTAGTCATTCACTTCATGGCTGTTCGTGCGGTGTTGCTGTGTGCACGTTTGGATGCCACATTCACCTAACAGATCCACAGTCACTACACTTTGCAGTAAATCCTGTGCAGTGCTTTCAGACATCGTTCTGACGTGTGTCAAATGTAAGGATTACTATTAAGTTCTTTCTAAAAATTAAGGCAAAGCTGAAAACTATCGCCTCCCAGTGGCAGAAAGTAGGTACTTCGGGAGCTTTGCCACAAGCTCATTGCTCAAGTTTCCTTCCTCCATCCACGTGGCTCTGTATCCAGAGGTAAGGAACCCGCTTGTCAGTCAGTCACTCATCTTGGGTAATAATCCCTTAAAAAAATGTAGTCACTTAATCCACCCCAGTTTGTGGGTCACTACTGTGTCCATGTTTCGCCCACACTTTACAGTATATCCTGTGAAGCACTTTGAGACGTCTCAAACACATGATGCAAGGATTATTGTTATTAACGAGAGTCCCCATTTGCTGTTGTTCCTACAGGAGTGTTTTTCTACAGAAGTCGTCCCATCAGCAAGGTGGACGTGCTGGGGATTGTGGTTCAAAAGCAAGAAAAGGAGAGGTTTTACAGATATGGAGGCGAGTGTTAGCTCACAGCCTGATGGTTTATTGTTATGAAAATCCTCAGACCCTTGTCCAGAATGCCCAACACCCCCTCCCCACTCCATGCCCCACACGTCCCCAACGCAATGCCCCCTCCACCCCAAGAGGTGTTAATGATGTAAAACAAGGTGGGAGGGTAATTGCAACAAAACAGGCAGACCAGAGAGAGAAAAGGTGTGTCTGGGATCCACCTCTTTAACCCATCATCCCCTGTCCTCCACCCCATTTACTCCACTATCTTCCTCGCCCTGCCTCCCCCCTCTCCGTTAGCCCATAAAAGCCTCTCCCTCCCAACTTGCCCCAGTTCTGACGAAGGGTCGTGGACCCGAAACGTTGACTCACTTTCCTCTCTCCATAGATGCTGCCTGACCTGCTGAGTGTTCCCAGCGGCTTCTGTTTTTGTTTCCAGATTTCCAGCGCTTTGGGACGTCCTCCCGACGTGAAAGACGCTCTATAAATGGAATCTTGTTGTTGTTGTTCCAGCATCTGCAATATTTTGCATTTCGAATAATAATAATCTTTGTATTTGATACAGCGCCTTATCACATCATCAAAACGTCTCAAAGCGCTTCACAGAATATACCATAAAGTGTAGTGACTGTGTGTTTTGTGGGCGAATTGCATTGTGTGCTGTAAGTGTCTATAATTGTGTGAGTGTGTGTGTTACACTCAGAGGCTGCTCTGCTCCTCACTGACACTCAGTCTGTGCATTACAGTGGATGACGGGACAGGAGTGATCACCTGTGTTTGCTGGAAACAAGGCCAGGTGTTGGCGGCAACGGAGCCAGGTATCGGGGCAGGAGAGGGGAGGAGGGAGGGAGGAGGGGAGGAAGAGGAGGGAGGGGAGGCGAGGGAGGAGGGGGAGCGAAGGAGGAGGGGGAGCGAAGGAGGAGGAGGGATGGGAGGAGGAGGAGGGAGGGGAAGAGGAGGGAGGGAGGTATAGACAGCTATAGTTACAGAGCTGGCCTCTCTGCAGGAGGCTGCTCACACTCACACTCGGGCGGGGGGCTGGAGGCTGGACTCCGTAGGCTCCGACACCGAGCTGAGCAGGATTCTCACCTGGAGCTCGGTGATGTCATCAGTGCCCGAGGCCGTATCAAGGTGTTCAGGGATGAGCGAGAAATTAACTGCAGCTTGTACAGTGAGTAGGTCCCTCATCACTCACACCCTCATCACTCCCACCTCGTCATTCTCTCACTCCCTGCCAGACCAGCTCTGTACAGTGAGTAGCCACCCTGCTACTCTCTCACTCCCTGGCCAGGCCACTCCTCTCATTCCACACTTGCTGTGTTCTGTGTTACTCCTGTCTCAAGCCTGACTATTTTATTTATGTCTCAGACAGAGTAGCTGATACCCGCTGTGCTGCACAGATCTCTCGGATGCTGGAGCTCCCTCAGCTTTACCGGACCTTTTACGACAAACCATTTCAGATCCCTCCACCTTCAGGAGCAGCGTAAGTGTGGGTGTGTGTGTATATGTGTGTCAGTGTGTGTGATGGTATCAATCTTCGTGTGTACAGTGTGTGTGAGTGTATGTGTACAGTATGTGTGCGTACAGTGTGTGAGCGCTGTGTGTACAGTGTGTGTGTGTACAGTGTATGTAAGTGCTGTGAGTGTACAGTGTGTGTGTGTGAGCACTGTGTGTGTCTGTACAGTGTGTGTAAGTGCTGTGTGTACAGTTTGTGTGTGAACGTGTGAGTGCTGTGTGTGTAGTTTGTGTGTAGTGTGTGAATACTGTGTGTGTGTGTACAGTGTGCGAGCACTGTGTGTGTAGTGTGTGTGTACAGTGTACAAGCACTATGTGTATGTGTACAGTCTGCGAGCGCTGTGTGTGTAAGGGGTGTGTGTACAGTGTGTGAGCACTGTGTGTGTAGTGTGTGTGTACAGTGTGCGAGCACTGTATGTGCATATGTGTACAGTGTGCGAGCGCTGTGTGTGTGTACAGTGTGCGAGCACTGTGTGTGTACAGTGTGCGAGCACTATGTGTGTAGTGTGCGTGTGTGTGTGTATAATGTGTATGAGTGCTTTGTGTGTAGTGTGCGAGCACTGTGTATGTAGTGTGTGTGTGTGTACAGTGTGCGAGCACTGTGTGTCTAGTGTGTGTGTGTGTACAGTGTACGAGCGCTGTGTGTGTGTGTACAGTGTGTGCAAGCACTGTGTTTACCTGTTACAGGTCAGGGGCCAAGCCCTCGGGGGCAGGGCTACTGCTGCAGGAGATAAAACTGTTCCTGAAGCGAAGCCGAGTCACCAACTTCCACCAGCACGAGCTGGAGGCCATCACTTCACTGGTTGCCCTCGCTCACAAGCACCTCCTCAGCCAGCCCTCAGCGCAGGACCCCTCAGGCACACAGCAGGTGAGGTAGTGCCTCGATAAGCTGACACACAAGTGAAGGAACGTACCGTGTGAGTGAGTGTGTGTGAGAGACTGTGTGTGAGAGCTGGGGAGCTCTGGAATAATAGCTTGTAATTAGCAGTGGTTTTTACAGGTGTTCCTAGAGCAGTCACTGGCCTCAGACCAGCCCGGGCAACTGCCGGGAGGGGGGGGTGATGTCCGCTATTTGGGGTTAAAGCTATTTGTTATGTTTAAGGGATGCTCGGGGGCGGCGTCACGGCAGATCCACACGATGTTTCAGGAAGCGATTGGCCTCCTGCAGGAGGAGGGGGTCGTGTTCCCCAAAACAGCCAGTCCCGATACCCTGTACCTGGTGAGTATCATCCCCATCACTGGGGTGGGGTGTTCGTGGTGTGTGGCTGTGAGTCGCGGTGTTACTGTGTGGCTGTGAGTCGCGGTGTTACTGTGTGGCTGTGAGTCGCGGTGTTATTGTGTGGCTGTGAGTCGCGGTGTAACTGTGTGACTGTCAGTCGCGGTGTTACTGTGTGACTGTCAGTCGCTGTGTGTGAGGCAGGTGACGGATGAGGATCAGCAGCTGCACAGTCTGACCCTGGAGATTATCCGTGAGGATTCGGGGAGACCAAAAGGTGAGTTCAGGCAGGACTCCCTGTGCCCATCTCTCCCCCCTCCCCCTCACTAACACTGTGTGCTCCCCCTCCCACCACTAACACTGTGTGCTCCCTCCCATCACCACTAACACTGTGTGCTCCCTCCCATCACCACTAACACTGTGTGCTCTCTCTCCCCCCATCACTAACACTGTGTGCTCCCCCCCACCACTAACACTGTGTGCTCCCTCCCATCACTAACACTGTGTGCTCCCTCCCATCACCACTAACACTGTGTGCTCCCCCCCCCATCACTAACACTGTGTGCTCCCTCCCATCACCACTAACACTGTGTGCTCCCCCCCATCACTAACACTGTGTGCTCCCCCCCACCACTAACACTGTGTGCTCCCCCCCATCACTAACACTGTGTGCTCCCCCCCACCACTAACACTGTGTGCTCCCTCCCATCACCACTAACACTGTGTGCTCCCCCCACCACTAACACTGTGTGCTCCCCCCCCCATCACTAACACTGTGTGCTCCCCCCCATCACTAACACTGTGTGCTCCCCCCCCCATCACTAACACTGTGTGCTCTCTCCCCCCCATCACTGACACTGTGTGCTCTCTCTCTCTCTGACGCTGGGAAGGCTGCCCTTTGCTGAGGGTTCTCCGGGCTGTGCAGAGCCGTCACCGTGTGGTCAGTGAGTCTGCGCTGCTCCGTGTGCTCAACACCCTGGAGTGTAACAGTGACATCATCAGCACCACCGACAGTCACTACATTGCCGTCTGACCCCCACAGGGGGGAGGGGAGAGAGTGAGGTAGGGAGAGAGGGCTGAAGGGGGAGAGGGGGGAAAGGACTGAGGGAAGAGAGGGGGAAAGAGGGCTGGGGGGGCTGGAGGGGAGAGGGGCCGGGGGGGTTTGGTGATGGGTGCCTGGGGGGGTGAAGGAGGGCTGGGGTGGGAGAGGGTGGTCTGGGGGGGGAGCGGGGGCTGGGGGGAGTGGTGGTGCGGGGGCCGGGGGGGAGCGGGGCCGGGGGGAGTGGGGGCTGGGGGGAGTGGGGGTGCGGGGGCCGGGGGGGAGCGGGGGCTGGGGGGGGAGTGGGGGTGCGGGGGCCGGGGGGGGAGTGGGGCGAAGATGAAAATTCACAATAAATACCTCATGCAGTAGCTTTATTGTAAATCAGTTACAATGTGATTGATTATATACGAGAGACCGAGCGCTGGGGGGGGGGTGTGAACATGCCGGGGGGGGGGGGGGGGGTGAACATTCCTGAAACCATCACCGTCGCCCAGTGGAACCAGTGACATGTGAGAACCTGATGCTGTACAAACCCGACCGGCACAAACCGTTCCCCCCCCCCCCCCACACAGGGACCCCCAAACCCCAGCCAGGAGCCGGGGGAGGGGCTGATCCTCAGACAATTAATTTCTCTAAATATCTGAATTTTTCCGGTTGAAGGAAATCCATTCGGACATTTTGTAAATACTCTCATTACATCTTAAACTGTCCTCAAAATGGCCCCCCGGCCTCACCACACGGCCCAAGGCAGCAGCGGGGGGGGGGGGGGGGGACAGGGACACAAACAAAGCAATTGACACTCAGACCTCACCCAATGTGGAATGTCAGACACTTCACTGGGATGTTGTGTGATGGGCGGGTGGGGAGGGGCTGCCGTCTGCTTCTCAGATGATAACGTGTCAGGTACAAACTTCACTTTATGTTCAGAACATTACGGTAACCACTCACTTTACCGTTTATACCCCCAGTGTCCACTTCCCCCGCGAGAGAGAGCAATGATAGGAAGTTCTTGTGAGGAGCATCAACTCTTCTGTGTGTGTGTGCGCGTGTGTGTCAGGGTGACTGCTGTGTGTGTGTGTGTGTGTGTGTCAGGGTGACTGCTGTGTGTGTGTGTGTGTGTGTGTGAGGGTGACTGCTGTGTGTGTGTGTGTGTGTGTGTGTGTGTCAGGGTGACTGCTGTGTGTGTGTCAGGGTGACTGCT